ACAGGGGATTCTAGATACGCGAGTCGAGGGGAGCGAGATCGAGCATACGGCTAAGGGGGTTCCAAATACGCGAGGGGGTCGAGGGGAGGGAGGGCGAACTCGCGTTGGCGCGAAAAAAACGCGCGAACTCCCTCAGTCGCCCTTCCGCTCTCGAGCTCGCAGGACTTCGTCACGTCGCTCCTCGCGTCGTGACGTCACGAGCTCACACATACATGCACCCGTGGGGACGGGGGCCGGGGAGGAAAACCGCGAGAGGTGGTGGGAGGCTAAAGCAGCTCGCTCATTGGCTGGCCCCCCGCACCACAGTACCCCTCTCGCCCAGTTTTCCCCCCGGCCCCTCACTCCGCGGGGTACTCCATGGGCGAGAATACTCTCTGCTTTGCTACTGCTACCCTATAGAGATATCCTTAAATTATCATGGACATATAATAAAATTATCATAAACTGTAAAAGAAGTAAGAGATAGCACTTTTGCAATACAAGCGAACTTTCGTTGTAGACTCCTTTACAGAAAGCGCAGAAATATAAAAATGAAGGAAATGTATGCTTTACAATGAGAAAATATAATGAAGCCATTGCTCAATATAGTAAAGCAATTGACATTTGTCCAAAGGAGAACGTGGATGATCTTGCGATTTTTTATCACAACAGAGCAGCTGCGTATGAGCAATTGGTAATGAAATTGATGATACTGCTAATAGAAGCATAACATAAAAATTTATTTAAATTTACTGATGAAATTAATGTGGTACAAATGTCTATTTATACGCAACAGTAATTGCAATTTGCAGAAAAGATATAATAGTGTGAAGGCAGATTATACAAAAGCGTTAAAATTGAATCCAAAATACATGAAAGCTTTGCTACGTCGAGCACGTATTTTCGAGCAACTAGGGGATTTGGAAGCCGCTTTGAAGGATATCGCTACTGCCTGCATTCATGAAAACTTTTCTGATCAAACTTTCGTTTTAAACGCACAAATAATCTTGAAAAAGCTTGGTGAGTTACACATTAAAAGCATTAGTACTAAATACTATTCATATTAGAATAAGAACTGAAAAATAACACAAAGAAATTTTATGACTTACAAATCAAAATCATTTTTAGTGGAACAGCTTTCCCTGAAGAAATCGACAAACGAAATATTGTTTATGCCTACGCATTTAATCGAAATAAATGATATTGGAGCCTTTTCTAGAGATCCAGTACTTTCTAGACTTGAATATCTAGAAAACATTCCAGAGTAAGTATAGGCAAAAAATTGTTTTTGTGTAATTATGACGTTTAATTTTTAATGCGTTTGTTACCAGATTTTTCAAGAAACCATTACAAGCGTTAAAAAACAAGGAGTATAATGATATAATATCGCTGTGCACGGAAGTCATTGAAAACCCTGGATTTGAGAAATTACCTCCCTCTAAACTAGAGGTGCTGTTATTACGATCTACATTTTACTACATTTCGCGCGATCACAGTGCTGCAATCCACGATCTTGATGTTATTTTGTCAAGCGAAGATGTATGTGATGACATAAGGGTAAACGCCTTGATAAAAACAGCACATGTATACCTGGTAATTGGGCCTCCAGAAATGGCTTTCAAGGTCTTTGAATTAGCCCTTACCATAAATCCAAGTTGTAGCGATATCTACTATCATAGAGGACTGGTATATTTTGAATTTACACGTTGACTATATTTTCTCATCTTATACATGTATATAGAATCACAACGTATTACGAAGCAGTGTAACAATACTATATTTTATCATTTAAGGCATATATGGACATAAAGAAGTTAGACAGAGCTAAGCTCGATTTTGAAAAGTCCGTTGAATTGAATCCAAACTTCAGCATGGCACACATGCATAAATGGTACGCAAATTATCTTTTTGCATTGTCGAATGGAAATATACGTTTAGCCGAAATTACTGTGAGAGACGTTGAGAAAGCTATCGACAAATACTCAAATTCTTTCGAATGTGTATGTTGTTATGTTCTATATGCTCATGTACGTATAATTTTGGAAGAAAAAATTGAAATTATAAAAAAAATGTATGTGATAAAGCATTAGTATTATGTCGTACACATTTTGATTTATTGGTGAAATTTTCAATGTTTATAGATAATGCTGACGACCAGCGCCGGATTTACATAAGGGCACTTGGGGCACGTGCCCCACAAAATGAGGGCCCCCACAAATACATTATCAAATAATTAAAAAATGAAAAAAAAAATTTTAATATACACTTATTAACCTTGAATGCTTATTAACTTGAAATTTTACATATTTTGAATAAAATATACCCCAAGACACTCGTGCTATCTATTCAACTCATGTTTAATATTTCTTATTTCATTAAAGATTTAAAATTTTCATTGAAAAAAATACTGAGTTAATTTTACAATACAATCACAAAATATTATTGTTATTCAAATCTAAAAAATATATATGGGTGATGTACGGAAATAGCGTTTTTTATGTTTCTGGACAATTTCATACTAAAATGTCGGAATAATCATTCTTTACAAGAACAAATTTGTCAGTATAGTTTATTTCTATATATTCTCATAGAAAAGTATCTAACAATGGGTATGAATTTCGTTAAAACCACATAAAGTGATGAAAATGTCAGACCCGTATGGATGTCCCCAAAATATACCACGGGTTTGACATTTTTATCAGTATTGTGAAGTTGTAATGACATATTAATGTCGGTTATTTGACACTTTTCTATGAGTATTTATAGAAATAAACTATACCTACAAATTAGTGCTCGTAAAGAATGATTATTCAGGAAGTTTAGTATGAAATTGTCCAGACAAAACCGGCACCAAAAAAAAAGCTATTTCCTTACAATCACCCATATCTATAATAACTATTTAAACTATAATCATACAATTATTAGATATTTATTTTTAAAATATAATATAAATTTTCAAAAGTGATTTTAATTTTGAGCTAAAATCAACAACCAATCGAGACGCGAAAAGTTTTCAGGCAGATTATTCAAAATTCAAAAGAGGATTTCTGTAATAATATGAAAAATAAAAGAAATTTGATATTTTTTAAATAATTTTATGTAACACATGCACAAAAAAGGCGTTTTTCTGCCTTCGTTACAGAAAATATCGTATGCATCTCGAGGGCTGGGACTTAGAACAACTCGAGTCTCTCGAGCAATGTTCTCGCCACTCGTCTTCGACTCGTGTTGCGAAAATTGCTCTCGTAATTCAAAAGTCCCTCCTCCGCCCCCTTATTCATAATGTACTATTAAAACTGAGTTTTTTAATTCAAAAATAAAAAAAAAGAATTTCTCTACAATCATCATTTTTGGCATGCTGTAAAATTATCCTTACAAAAAAAATGGAAAACAATTTTTAACTAATTTAATGTAATACGATTTTATGAGTATTGATCATAGACTACATAATGTAAATCATTCAACATTTATAGCTGAAAAGAATTTTTTTTTGTCAAGTAAATCTATATGACAATTGAATCTTAAATTTTTTAATAAAATTGAAACTAATAATTTAAAATGCTGCACCATAACAAATATTGCGGTTTAATTATACAAGTTAATGCAAGTTTGACTTGCAAGCCACGAGCACGTTCTCGCGCTTTATGCAAGTTACTGCAGGTTTGGACTCGCGAGTCGCGAGCCTGTTCTCGCGCTTCTTACAATGCACTAATGACGTCTGTAGTGTTGTATATTTTATTCGTAACGTATAAAGTATAAAAGTGTATAGTAATAACGATTAACAATGAGTGATCAAAGTGATAGACATAGAGGTAAAAGAATTTATCAAAGTGGGAGTGCTAAGCGTCGAGCATCAATTGATAAACAGCAAAAAGAAAAAGAGATTCTTTCAAAAACGCGACGCATGTCCGATTATTTTTCTTCACAAATTTCGCAAACTTCTACATTACATGAAATTGATTCAAATAGTTTAGCTTCTATACAAATTTTGGAAAACAACGATTTAAATAATGCATCAACATCGACAAAGCTAGTACACAAAAAAGAAAAGGTAAGCATATAAAAAATGGCCCTCGAGCGTCCCGGGGGCTGTCAAAAAAGCGAGGACACAGTAACCATCCATTTTCTAGGTAAGTTTTTCAGCATTTCTTTATAGAAATACGTTCCTTATTACAAGGGTTACCGGGTGAAGTAATGTAGACAGTATTCGCTGCTTATCAATAAGAAAAATCAAACCTGAAAGTTTGAAGTCAAATTTTGAGGTTTGATTTTTCCTTGTCAAGGTGTTAAATTCGTCGCCATACGTGAAACTTTCAGGTTTGATTTTTCCTATATATAAGCAACAAATCGTGACAACATTGCTTCACCCGGTAGCCCTTGCGATAAGGAACCTATTTCTATAAAGAAATTCTGGCGCAAAGTTCCCCCGCTTTTTTGACAGCTTTGGATCGTTCGGCGGCCCTTAAAATTTCCCCTTAATTATAATAATAAATTGCGTCGGATCAATAAATATTACGTCAAAAAAAATACATTACTCCATAACTTCAATTAAAGGCGTTTACGCGAAAGTTAACAAATACAGTATGCAAACGGCAAAACTCGACGAGACGCAACAGCCGTTAACGATTTTAATTTTTTTACTCAGTTGATACAGGTACTGCAATTATTTCTTTATATTTTATTCAGTATTTTGAGTAATTAATATATCTCAGCAATGATATATATTTTATATTCTTAACTTACTTTACATTCACCCAATTTTATACAGTTCCAGTATTTTATTCATGCAATTGTATTGTACAAAACTTTTTCTATTTTATATTTTAAAAAAGCATGAATATTTTCAGGTTTCGATAACAGAAAAAAGCGGGAGTGAGGATGGTTTGTCAAATGATATAGGTATGTGGTCGGATGATATGAAAAAATGGAGTTTTCATTGGTTAAAAAATTCGATGTTTCTGTACAACATTGCGACAGCCATTTATTAAAAAATAAATCATTAGAACAATCCGATGGACAGAAAATCAGAAAATGTACCGTAAGCATGTTCGAAAAAAAAAACGGTTAACGGAGAAGTGATCAAACGTTCTTGGTTGTGCTTTTCTCCTAATATTGGTCGTTTATATTGCTTTTTTTGCAAATTATTTGATAAATCGTTGGCAAATCAGTTTATACACAACGGCTTTTGTGACTGGAAACACGCTAATGAACGTTTAGTACAGCATGAAATGTCAAATCATCATTTAAAAGCTCTGGTACAATATAATAGCCTTTCGAAAGAACAAGGACAAATTGATAAAGAACTCAAAAAACAAATCGAAGATACCACTAAGTATTGGCAAAATGTATTGAGGCGTGTGATTGACGTTATATTATTTTTAAGTGAAAGATCATTAGCTTTTAGAGGTGCTAATGAAATTCTAGGCTCGCCAAACAATGGAAACTTTCTAGGAATAATAGAGTTATTGTCAAAATATGATCCTTTTTTAGAAGAGCATATAAAAAAATATGGAAACGGTGGAAGTGGACACGTTAATTACCTCTCGTCAACTATCTATGAAGAACTCATCGAAGAAATTGCCAAATTAGTATTCAGCGAAATATTGATACGATTGAAAAAAGTTAAAATATATTCAATTTCTTTAGATGGAACAAGTGACGAAGGTCATGTTGATCAACTGACTTTAATTTTTAGATATGTAGAGAATAGTAAGCCAGTTGAAAGATTTCTAAAATTTTTACCTAATGAAGGCCACAAAGCTATTGACATGTTTAATGAATTGATAAATTTTTTAAAAGAAAATGATATTGATATAAGCAATTGCCGCAGTCAGTCATATGACAACGCATTGACCATGAGTGGAAAATTTAACGGACTTCAAGCTTTAGTAGCAAAAGAAAATGATTTAGCAATATGGATACCCTGCTTAGGACACAGTTTAAAGGACCCCGCACCAGGGCCGGCGACTATTGTGTTGAGGGTGTTGACAACTCAACATCCAGTCGGTTATAGGGTGTTGTTTTCAACACCCTATTAAGGTGACAAAATGTAATGAATTATGTAGGAGATTTTATTAAGTATACATGTATTCTTTTCAATACTCATAGCGTTTTCCACTGGCGCACTGAGTGGGCACTGAGTGTCAAATTTCAAATTCTTCAAA